GCATTTTTAAGAGTCTGCATGACATCTGATGACACCATCACTCTAAAAGCTAACAGAATGGAAGTTGTTTTAAATTTTTCTCGGTCTTAATTTCTAACGGGGTAAGTATCAATAGACAGAAACCACACAAAAGCCCTCTGGCATCCTCGAAAATATTTAAGAGTATATAGGGCCAAAAATCTTGAGAATCATTGCTATAAAACAACATTTTAGTTAGTTGCTTTTGGAAAGGAACTTTTAATATGTGAAACTAATTAGAATGAGTTTAAGTTTATATCTTCAGGGGAAAAAGAAATAAGAAATGTTTTACTATCTTAAATTTTTGATCCCTTAGGAGGAAGATTTTTCCACATAGATCCCCAAATTATCTTTCCCCTACAAGTAAGCACCATGATGGAAGTCTCACTGCCTGGAAGGGAGCATGTACACCCCTACAGTAGTGAGCCCCTAACACAAGCTGTTCCTACAAGTAAATGATCTCAAAGCCCTTCCCAGTGGCTATGTAAACCAGCCAGTACCATGAGGCCCCAGCTCCCCAGAGTTTTACAGAGGAATGTGGAGAACCAACCGTGACATCTCAACATCGCTAAGGGATCTCAGAGCTTCAGAGAATGGGAAACAAGCTCCTTTTTACAAAATCATGCTGATGCTGGAAAGGAAGGAGAGGTGTGAGGCACTGCTTATGCTGGTGTCACATCCTCTCGGGCCACCTTTTCAGCGTGTGCAGCTGCTTGTCATAGCAAGTGTGGCCAGAGATCCATGCCTCACTGCACGGGGATCTCTCTCTCCTCAGCAGCTGCTGGTCTCGGGAAGGCTTCTCAGGAAGCCCCTCCGGCACAAATACAAACCTGGAAGGGTGAGGGCGTTTCATCCCTGGAGCACCCCTGACCAGCAGACCATGGGAGCCAGTGGATAAATACTCCCCTCTCCATGTCCCAGGTGGAGGATACTGAGGCACATTCAACAGTTCCCCAGGGGTCCCTGGCCGGACTGAGCACCAGTGATCCATCATGGCAGCCGGCTCAGTAACTCACTCTTGGATTGGCTTTCCTTCCTCCCCTTTGTCAGTATTCCCTTGGATGTTCTTCCTCTTATGTTCCCTGGGATACCTTTCCAAAATAAATTGCCCGTGCTAAGCCCTTGTCTCAGTCCTTCAGTTGACCCCTGCTAAGATAAGGCATAAGATAAGCTCTCCACCTCCAGCCAGGTGGGGAAGGGGCATAGTTAGCACGAGAGGGGCCCAGCTCCTCCCCGATCCTAAAGCTTGGTAGAAGGTTTCACATCTAGCAGATGTTTTAAAACAACCAGTTAAGTGAAAAGAGAATGAAATGATGGCCAGCTATGGAAGAGACACTGCAACTAATCGCTGTGTTGTATGACATAGACTCTAACTAATGTGGGTTTCAGAGGAAACGATGAAGTCTCAAGCAGAAGATGATGAAGACAGGAGGGTGGTTCTGGAAAAGGAAATGAGTCCTAGCCACTGGAGACCCAGAGACTGGCCTCCCCAAAGCTGGCATCCTAGAAGGTGAGGGGAGGTGGGACAGAGTACATTCAGATGAACGAGGGGTTCACCAACCTAGGGGATGAGCAGATTTTACACGGTGGTCCATGAAGGCTTGTGAGAAAAAGTATGGACCGATGTCTCCACTTAACCACACCAAACTTTCTACATAATCCCGGACAATCAAACACTTGGGCTTACAACCCCATGCCTGACTCTCTTTATCTCTTTCTTTTCTTCCCAGAGTGATTATGAATTGTCCGGGCATACTTTACACATTAATTTATTTAATCGACAAAAAACCCCATGAGGTAGGTTCTATTATTGCCCCCATTTTACAGATGGAGAACCTGGAAGACAGAGAAGTTACACAGCTGGGAGACAGAGCTGGGGTTAAACCCTGCCAGTCTGGCTCTCTCTCACACTTTGCCCCCCACAGTCAATAAAGTCACCACATCCCACGTGATAATCCCACGTGATTCCTTTCGCAGTGTTTCCCATATGTTGAATCCTTAGCATTTTCAGAACCTGTAACCACAGGTATATATATATATATCAGATGCTGGGCCAGCTGCGGGGGATAAAGATGCAAAGGGCTCACTCTCCAGGTAGTTCCCATTACACACCTTGCAAGATGAGCCATGTCATGGAGAGCTGAACCTACAGGTCAAGGTGAGAAGGTGAGCCTGGGCTGAAATTGGGAAGAATTGGTGGGTGAAAAGCACAAATTCTCACTCATCTCAGAAGAAGTGTCACTGAGCATCTGCCCTGTGCTAAGCCCTAGAAGGTAGGAAGGAAGGAGAGGGACACTGAAATGAGTTACCATACAGTCCCACTCAATCCTCATACCCACACAGGTAAGGCATAGCAAAGCTGTTCACACCAGGCCTTAGATATGGTAGATCTGTAATAAGAAATGATCATTTCAGTCTCCTTCTAACACCACTTTAAGTCACATAACTTAGAGTAGTTTTCCGTAACTGACCATATTAAACCAAGTTCCTATTGTAGGTATTCAAGGCCCTCATCTTCTACTCTCCACTTGGTTCAGACCTCACTACTCGTTAAATCAATCTTTTTCTTCCCAGTACATTACAAGCAAATAAGAAGAAAACAGTCACACTTTATGTGTTTGCCCATGTGATTTACTTTGCTGGTTATTGGTCTTCTTTATTTCTATCTGTCTTTATCCATGGCCATTTTCAAAAGTATCCGATGATTTTTTTTTCCACTCACATGGCTTTGGTCTTTCCTCTACCACAGTCCCATGGCACTTGTAGATTTAAGTCTCTGGGGTGTTTGGCACCAGTGGATTTTACTCTCTATGGTTCTTACAGCCATGCATGTATGAGTTGGCACATAGTAGGTGCTCAAGAACCCTTATCTGATTCATGATGAAGTGTTAAGTAAGTACCATAAGGAAATATCGCCCATGATCTTACACTGTGCTTTAATATAACTTGTTATAAAACCTTCTTTCTCTTCCTCCTCATAGATAATGAAATATACTGATTCATCAGCCTTGTAAATAAGCCCAGTCTCCCCAAGGAACTACTGTGATATGAATGAAATCATCATTTTACACTGGACATGATGCTTCTAGAAGAGTGTTTGGCACACCATTAACTCCCAATAACTATTTGTAGAAGTGAATTAAAATAATCAGCTTTATTTCACACCTGTCACATACTATATAATGTGGTAAAGATTTCCAGTAACAAAGTTTGTAAGATGAATTTGAAGAGCAACCCCGATCAAACATAGAAAAAGTAGTTTTACCCACTCTACACACTGAACTATCCTAAAAGACTAGGCCACTTTCTTTTTCCTGGACTTCACAATCTGTCAATTGCTTAAGTTAGTTAAGACCATCATCCCTCTCCACCCTTAGGAGCTCCTAATGGGAACCTGCCCATCACTGGATGCAAAATCTGAAAATGGCATTTTCAAATACTTTGTGGAGAATACTATTTAATGACACTACTGACAGTCACTTTAAGTAGTGTGATCACAATATGCTAAGTATTTAAATACAACCATCTCATTCCACTTAGACCTTTTTGAAAGAAAATAATTAAGTAATCAAAAAAGTGAAATTTTTATCCCCCAAATGATCCGGAATTAACATAAAAGAAAAACTGAATATCGTAGAGAGGATACGAATTCTGGGACTCCAATGTGTAACAAACAAAAATGCTTTGGTATCAGCCAATATGAATCCAACAGATAATAAAGGATACTTTGGAAAATTTGCCTCTCATTTGAGGTTGTTTTTTTTTTTTTCCCCTCCAACAATACTCTACAGAATGTGAGTAAAATCTGTTAGACTACTGTTTGAAACCTGCCTCAGTCCTTCTAATCCATGCACCTCCCGGTTGCATTGAGATCTGCCGGGTGACACATGAGATCTAAAGTGGGTGGATAAAAATAACCTGGTCCTCAAAAAGACATGATAAACGCCAGACAGCTGAGTCACTTTGAAGCCCATCTGACTCTGGAAAGGGACATTCACCCTCCTTTTCCTTGTCGCACATATACATGCCACCTGGTGAAAAACACTACCAACCGCCCTGGGTGGAAGGCGGTGATCTGTAGTAAC